ACTATTATAATGTATTGTAGAATATTATTTGATGACGAGAGTGAGAGCGATAACGACGACATCATTCTTGCGATGCAACGAAGACCGCGAATAATAATTTAAATAATAAAAATAATAATTTTTCATTACATTATATTGCTATTATACTTATTGAAACATTTTAAAATTTAATATGATAATTTTAATTTGAATTTTTTTGTAACCATTCAGACCCAATGTCCCCTATAGAGGACATACTCCTAAATTCGTCAAAATCTAAAAATAAATTTTTTTTAAAACATTTTACTCTCATTATAGTCCATAGTAAAATAAATAAGCAATAAAATTTTTTTAATCTCTATAAGAAATTAATTTGGGTCTGAAAGGGTTAACGTTTTCAGCGTTATCAATTCAATGAGCGGTGTTATCAATGCTATCAGTGGAAAATGAGAGGGAATCCTGGTTAATACCAGCAATTAATTAGCTAACCTGAGATTTACTAACTTCCACTTATAAACTGGTGGTGAAACTGAAATAATGATAACTTGGGGTTATTGACAAACTCAGAGTTAATTAATCTCAACTTTAACTCTTTAATGGTAAAACCGACCCTAATTATCACGTATTATCTATAGATTATACTAGTACTCTACAAACTATTAACGACTGGGCATACACACATTTTTGTAGTTATAGGTATACATGGTGTACTGTGATTAAGGCAACAACATATATTTAAGTTGGATTATATATTTGAATCAGGTTGATTTATAAATCATTGATCAACTTGAAGCTGTATATAAGCTGATTGAAATAATTTTATTTTTTCTTTCAATTTTTTACAAAAATCACATATGATAATATTAAATATTAATAAAAATGGTCTTGAAAATCAAAATTAACTTAATTTGAATAAATTAAAAAATATGCGTTAATTTTAAGTTAATCTGTAAGAAAATAAGTTAAGTTAATTTTCCAGTCATGAAATAAGTTAAGTTAATAAGTTAAATTAACTTAACTTTTAACTTATTAATTCGTTAATGCCCAGGCTTCCATAATTCAGTACCGAAAATTTTAAGTTACTGAATGGGAACTAGATTTCAAATTAACCAGAATATTTTTAGTATACTTCTATTGTTGTAATCAAATAATATTTGGACATAATACTTTCACGTTTATTAAAAATCGTATATTATATTATTATTTAACATTATATTGGTATCTCGAATAAACTATTTACAATACAAAATCTAATAATATCAGAATTTTTTTATTATAAAATAACTGAATATACCTAGTGAAAAGTTTATTATATTTCATAATTCAATATCGATTCATCCGGGTGATAAGTTCTCATATATTTTCCTCGTTGAAATTTCCCACCTTCTTCAATGAATCTTAAACCTTTTTATAATAAAGTCTAAGGACAGTGAAAATGTCATTAATGTAATTGTATCATAATTCAAGTAAATATGATTTTGACATATTAACATTTTCATACAATCATAAATCCCAAAGACTCTAATTACGAATAATTTTGAATATATTTTACACTTTATTATATACATTTACATATATTTAAATTGTATATACTTTCTAAAATAAACGAATAATTGATACTTTTTTGAAAATGTTTTTTTTTCAATCAAAAGTATAAGAATACAGAAGGGATTCGAAATAAATTTGAATTTTGATGTATCAAAGATATGTAAATTTATTTAAAAATTAAAAAAATAATAAAACTGAAATAAATAAAAATTACTTAATTTTCAATTGAAAATTATTGATTTGGTTTAACTCGAAATCACTGATTTTCGGTTAAATTCCATTGATTAATATAATTATTCTTATTTACGAGTAATTGAAAAATTATCGTTTTCATTAATGAATTACAACATCATAAAATAAGTATCTAAATAAAAAATAAAAGCTATAACCTTTAAGATTGTCCCGCGGAACCCTAAGGTTCCACGAAACACACTTTGGGAATCGCTGTTATAGATATAATTTTATTTTATACTGTTTATATAGTTTAGTGTTTAATCGTCCATTTAATCCCGAGCTCCGATTAATCACCCCGATACCACAATTTTTTGATAATTATTTTTATACATCGATTATAAAATTATAAGAAACATACTCACGATATCGATATTGTTGACCAATACTACAATTTAGATAATCTATATTCAATATTATTAATCTAATTTTGTTTACGTTTATTAAATTTATTCATTTTTACCAAATAAGATGTATAACAATCTTTGATAGTAATATATATATATATATATATATATATATATATATGAATATATAAATTAAATATTAAATGTATATTTTATTTACCTTTAAATCTTAAAATACACTTAAATATTTGAATAGTGAATTTTTTTTTCTTTACATGTACTTATCTACGCCCATGACTACATGTTTATCATTTTTATTTTTAATAATAACAATAATTATAATGAAATATAATCATTATTATAATTATTGTAATCATTAATTAGTACAAAACTCAGCGAGCAATGAAATAAATAAATATACTGTTGTACAGTATTACTTGTAAATGTTAGACAATTTATGTTGGCCTAGGTTGTATTTTATTCGAGGAAAGTTTACTCGTGCCTCTTTGTTGCTCCTAAAGTGACCCGGTATAGTTAACACATAACTTCTTAGTGTATAACTTCTGAAGTTGATTTTGGAGAGTTAACATAATACCGTCCAGTTTTTGGGTAGTTTACGTCAACACCAGTAATCACATTTGAGAATAGAAATACCGCTAATATCGATAAATACCTACTGAGATGTACAGCTTGTACATTTTGCGTTTTTCATAATTTGTGCACGTACAAATAAGCTTGTGTTAAGTTGAGTTGGGTGTGGTTAGGAGAGATTCAAAGTTGGTTAGGACTGTTGTAATTATAATAATTAATTTTCTCGTCATCAGCTTGGTAATCCTTAACGGCACATTATACGTTAACAATAATTATCAATTTCAACGTATAGTGTGAAGATTTTTGAGATCCGTAAACAGCGACGAAATCCCCTGAGGTAATGCGTTCTACTGCGGAGTCGGTTTCGTATTATACCTATTATAAGATAATGTACTCTCACCGTCTGAAATTTTAAATGTTCATCATATTCTCATCGACTTGCACGAACTATTTACTTATCATTTAAATTAGCATTACGGTATACAACCGAAGGCAAATATATTCAGTGTTGAAACTTATTTAGAATCGCTGTCGTACCCCGAACCTCGTCCACCGTTGAAAAACCACCCATCACATGACTCGGCTAAACAAAGAGAACGGTGGCGTAGAATGGGTTCTCTTTCTCTCTTTAACATAATCCCGATAAAGATAACATTTTATTTTGTTTATAAAAAAAATAGTTCAATTTGTTTTTCACTTTTATATATATATAAATATATTAGTGACCCACCCCGGCTCTACATGGGTGTTATTTGGATCTGCAATAAAATAAATTTGTAGAAATTTGTGATCATCGGGTCGATGTGATAGCAAGCTCCCAGCTAAGTGATACAGTTGCCCTTGCACTTTAAATGTAGACATAAAACCATGCTCAACGGCTTGCTTATTCTTGAAAGAGGTTTAAAATACATTCAAAATATGTTATTATAACGGCGTATATTGTGCATGAATTTTTTGGATTTCGGATGATTACCCATAAGGTGAGAGTGAAGTGGTTCAGATGAAAGAAGAAGTTCTTCTAATTTTACTTTTCCTTATAAGCAACACATGCCTTTCGATTCGTCCTTGAATTTTAATGTCAAGCAATGTTCACACACTACTGATATGATACCTATTGATACTATACAATCGTCATTGTAAAGAATCGAAGGATCATAATTCATGGCAGAATTTTCTTTTTTACCCATGAATTAGTTACTCTCTCGGATCTATGGCCGTTCGGTTATCCATTTGGTTCGGTGTTACTATGTGTCTGTGTAGACGATTCTCTAGCTCTTTGTATTCGATGTCTATCTCTATCCTGGCTGAAGCGAGTTTCACGCTATACAGACGATTCTTCATCTCTTGCTAAACGTAATATTTTGGCATTCGCTATACTACAACCTATGTTCGAACGACGACATCTTCTAGACGTGACTTAATAATTTTTGTACAAAGTAAGTACTATTTAGTCAGTTCAATAAATAATAGTAATAATCTAATTTTATTATCATGGTAACACATCACACACATAGTACAATAATACAGTATTCCGTCTTCTTTTTTTTTTTTATTAAAAACATTCCTCTTAAATCACTCTATCAATTAAAAAAACCCACATCAAAATCCGTTGCGTAGTTTTAAAAATCTAAGCATACATAGGGACAGACGCTGGACGCAGGACCGTCCCAAAGGGGGGTCTTATGGGGAGGGTCTCACCCCCCCACGAAAACACCAGTCGGCAGTCGGACTTGTTTCATTATAGCCTAGAAGGAACTAATTTTACTTACGGAAAACAAATACTACATATTTCGTAATACAATGTATATACGAATAAAATTTATATAACTACTTATTATACAATTATATATTCGGTATATATATATATATATATATATTCACTTCCCGTCACTGGTATCTGCTACGAGTACTCCGAAATTTGTTGATGGCTCATTCTTATACTTTGGTTGTATTAAAAATTAAAGGCTGTAAAATTTAACAATCTATTATTATTTTTAAAGAATATATTTGATATTAAATGATAAAGTACTTATATTTGACTAGAAATATTTATATTATTGTGGTGTTTTATAATAAAAAAGTAAATTGCTATGTTTATTTTTAGTTTTATAAATTTTATGTTATATTTTCTTTACTTTCGAGCCTATTAAGTACTATGATTTTAAGTATCTTTACGGTATAGTTTTCAATGGTTTTTTAAAAGAAAACCAAATGAACACCATAACCATAGTTACATAGAGTTTTTGTTACCACGGTTTAAACGGTAACCTAACGGAGTTATCAGTTAGATTGTTGATTGTTTACGTCCCGGTTTGTACGAAACAATCGTCGGTGGCGCTGTAATATTTTCAAGTATCACCGTCGTTTTTTAATTTACTCTTGACCTGGATTAACTCTTTTCCGCGGACTGACGCTGAAGTATTCCTATTCATTAGTCTTTCCTCGTGGTTATTCAGTGAGTACACTCGCGTGACGTTCTGTCCATTATTGCAAATTGTGTGTGCGTACAGTCTAACGAAATTTAGTGGGATTTTTTTTTTTTTGTTTCCATACCTATTCGTTCAGATTCGAAATGGTCGCGGAAAGTTTGTCCTAAATGGAGCCGAGCAAAGTGACCAGTAAAACGAGCAGTTTGAAATCGTTGGTGCTAAAAGCGTGGGGAGAACGTTGGACAGAAATCCAGTGGGGCATATCCATAAAATCGGTAAGTGCTTACCTCCTAAATGTCTTCACTAATATACCAAATAAAAACTCAGTCGTTATCGCTACAAGGACTCGTGCCTATATTATAGGATTTTGCTTTCACCTACACTGAAAATTCTATCGTTAGGGGATGTCTATCATCAACGGGATTGTCTAATTACCTTAATCAAAATACCTTTATCAAAAATCTATTGTTACATGTATTCCAATAACAGTGAGATTATGTTAAACCATAAGTTGTTATTGAGTTTTACATCAGTTTATAAATATACTTTTACAACTCCTGATCTTGTCTATAACAAACTTATAAAAATCATGAAACTATATACACTTAAAATTAATTAAGTTCTTAGCTGAGATTAATTAATTAATTAATTTGAATTAGCCATTAAATTATGTTAATTCATGTAGAATAAATAGAATAAATAAGTATATAATGTTTAGTATTAGGTACTTTAAATTTTAATTTTCGTTATGTTTTATTCCATAATAATAAATTTAAATTTGATAATATTTTTTGCATTATGATATTGCTCCAGTTCTGAATATTTATAAATAAATTAAAATCTATTACTTAAACCTTGTAGTTCAGGACGTCCAAGGTTCTTATGTAATCATAATTTATTGTCTTCTTATATTGGACATTTTATTCATTACCTAGGCATTTTGTATAATGGCTAAATCTCTATTTTATTCATCATGTATTTATTATATAAACACCTATATACTTAATATTTATTTACTATTTTTATTTCATTGATAAATTACTATTTGCCATTCTTATCTAGTATAATTTTAGTTCCACTGTTGTGCTTATAATCTCAAGTAACTATACATAAAGCATGATTTAAATAATACTATTTACATTTTCTACACTACTATTATATGGTAGTTGTATTGTTCACCTAAATATGCCAATTTAAATTTTATGAAAAACTTGAAATAAAAAGACTCACTGAGACATCTTTAAACATGAAAAAGGGAAAACATTTACTACTTATTAAAGTATTAATTTATTTGTTAGTTTATTATGAATTATGTACAGTGAAGTGACAGTCTTGAAATCATTTTGTTGATCAGGTGTTATAATATCTTCTCAAAATGACTACCAAGTGTGAACAGTTTGAAACCAATAAATGGACAATTATTTCATCAAAAAGCCATATACTCGGATCTGGATGTTCTTCACGCAGTAGTGTACCATCATCATCATGCTGTGACTTTTGTCTATTTTCTACGGAATTAAAACTCCATCATTTGCCTGAAATGGTATTTCCTAATAACAGCTTAGAAATTAAGTATGATGGCCATTCAGGAATACGTTTTTGCGCTTTAGATGCTCTTAGAGATGTTGATCCATGTAGAGCACCGGTGAAAATTGCATGTTCTAATGAATGGAAGGAATCTAGAGTTGACTCTGGGCTAATGGATACAAATGTTAATCAGTTTGATTGGACATATTCAACATATTATGAAGGCACATTATTTGGGAATTCGGTCACTGAAGCCACTGATGAACGTATTGATATGGAAAAGCTCAAAGAGCAGGAAGAAATACTTTTCTATTCTGACTTGACTTTGTTTGAAGATGAATTACATGACAATGGTGTGGCTGTATGTTCAGTGAAAATCCGCTGCATGCCTAGTGGTTTTTTTGCTTTGTTACGATACTTTTTACGTGTAGATGGTGTCATGATGCGTTTACATGACACACGTTTATATAAAGCAATAGAATGGGATTATATGCTCAAAGAAGTATGCCGTAGAGAGTGTTATACAACAAAAATACCTGTTGGAAAATCTGGAACTTTAACTGATCCCGGAAGCTTTGCCAACACCTTACCTATTGTCTACGAGTGCCATGAAAAAATTAAATTTCATAAAACATCATAATTCTGCATTTTTATATGTACCTTTTTAGATTTGTTTGAATAGGTACACATGTTTATAATTACTTTAGCTTTAAATACATATTAAATCAACTTATCAAATTCTCATTACAATAAATAAATATATATATGTGCATATCTTATTAAACTATTATGCATCTTATTGTCCAAAACTATTTTGTATAAGCAATATTAGTTAAATAAAATATCCATAAAATGTGTTGACATAAAATAAAGTAATATTTCTTTTTAATTTACTTGAGTTTTTAATCTGTAGTTTTTAAAATTTGGCTGTTTATGTATAAAATAAAATTATTAATTGGTTTAAATTCAAAATGTTACTGAAAAATATTATTTCGCTCTCAAATTTAATAATTTTTACAATTGTGCCTTCAGTGGGGTAAATGTTTTGATGAATTATCAAAATTCATGACACTTATAGAAAAATATTTACTATCCATAAAGTAAATAATTGAATGTATGAGAAGATTTAAAATAGGTTTTCTCAAATTTAATTTTTAGGTTTGTCAAAAAAAATATTTAAATCATTACACATCAATGAAAGGGTTACAATAGATGGAGAAATAAATGTATATTATGCCTTATATATTTTACTTAAAGTTTTTTTCATTATATGTCTGTATAGATAAAGATTAATTTGTTAAGCAATCTGCAAGTAATAGATAATTTATGTATTTGGTGATTAAAGTGTATTTGACATTCATTGTTCTTCGCTGTTTATAATGATAGACCTACAATCTATATTATAATTTATAATAACATAACAACAATGCTTAAAACACTTAATTTTATTTACCTTTATTTACTACTAATTTTACTACTTTATTTACCTCGTACTAAATCATCATGTTAAAATAAATTATTCAATTTATACATGTTTTATATTTTATGAAAAACATAAAATTGACTATGAAAGAAAGCTAAACTTCTAACTTTCTTATCAATGCATAATTTATCAGGCATCCCCGTAAGGTAAATTTAGTATAACACTTAGGGATGTAATAAGCAGCTTGATCAAGTTAATTCATTTGATAAGGCCAGTTCTTATCTTCAACACAAGAATTTTAACCTTCAGACCCTAGGGTCACTTTTGTGACCCAATGTTTCATTCTTCAATTAAAAATAATTGAGTAGTATACAACAAACGTTCTGTATAAGTATCGATGTATAAAATTCCGTAGAATTCAGTTATCTAATTATTATCCTCTTATTGACTTTTTTTTTAGTGTATTTCCATATATTTACAAGAAAAAATAGTATAGAAATAATTGTTCATGTTTTCTTTTCACTTTTGATTTATTAATATGAATATAACGAGAACAGCGAGTTGTAAAATTAATTCTTAGAAGAATAAAACCTATGTAATCTAATAATATCGTTTTTATTCTTATGTTTCCATTATATCGAATGATATGATTGTTTGAATATTGGGTCACATTTGTGACATGTTGCGTTTGTTTTTACCGGTATTTATTTTCATTTTTGAAACGGATTGCGCTGTTATCGTAACGCGTTTCTATACTCCGCGATACCGTACGTATACTTATTAGTGTTATTTTTTATATTTTATTTTATGAATAGTTAACATTAAAAAAAAAAAAAAAATGTCTCGTAAATTACTAGAATGTGATATTTTAAGACGCGTCCAGACGGAGCAGCTTTTGCCGCACGGCACGGCCGCGCGGTTTGAGTGTGAATACATGAATACATTTTCAGCGGCTTTTTTTGATGCCGCGCGGCATAATTTCCGATCGGCCTAGTAGGCGGTCTACATCAAAGGAAAGCCATGCGGCTTATGCCGCTCGCCTATGCCGCGCGTGTGAGGACGTATTTTCGGCAAAGCCACACGGCATCAGTACTTATTTTTTAAGTAGGTATTTAAATTATTTTTTAAGTAATAGTAACAGAACAAACTTTTTTCACTGAAGTAAAACTGATTTTTGTAGTAATCTCCAGAAGACACAATTTTTATTCTATCAAAATGTCAATACTGAAGATTTTGTTTTTAAAAATACAAAGATCAATAATAATTTTTCAAAAATCTTTAATTTCATGTTTTTTAAGATTCAAAAATATAGATTACTTGCTGATCTCGTGCATTTCGTTGCCCATTAAAAATCACACAACTCTATAGTACGAATAATATACTATTATTATTATTATTATAGCTTTAAAACAAATCGGGAAATAAATGCCGCACCTTCTGGACAAGTATTTGCTGCGCGGCACGGAGCTGACGGAGGCCGCGCGGCTATGCCGCACGACAAAAGCTGCTCCGTCTGGACCCGCCTTTAGAATTATTATCGGACGGTTATAATTCTGATTTTGGTAGTATAGATGATGAGGACGAATTTTTTCCCGATGATGAATTTCAGGATTTATTAAATGAATTTGAAACGAGGATGTTGTCTGTGACTTTCCAAATGTCCCTGATAATAATAATAATACTTTGAATGAAAATACACTAGAAAATAATTATACAGTTACTAATAAAGTATAAAATGGCTAAATGAACCTTCCCAAATTTTCATGTTATAATTAGAATTAGAAAATGAAGTTTACCCTACATCTATGCTCTCACCAATAGATTGTTTCAATCAGTATTTTCATGACGATTTTTTTGATAACATAGCTTTTAACACCACGTTATACACGGTCTAAATGGAGTAAAATTTTAGCCTACAAACGGCATGAAAATAAAATCATTTATTGTAATACATATTATAATGAGATCATTAAAATGTACTGGGAAGAGGTATTTAAAATTAATATCGTAGAAAATACTATGACTCGGGATCGTTTTTTTCAACTGAGATAAAATTTATAAAAGTTCGGCCTTTGTATGATTTAATAAAAAAGAAGTGTAATAGTTTAGTAAAGGAACAAAACTTAAGTGTCGATGAGCAAATGGTGCCGTTCAAGGGTACCCTTTCTATTAAACAATATATGAATTGTAAGCCTTGTCCTTAAGATAAAAATATGTCTACTTGCTGGACAAAGTGGTACAGTTTATGATTTTATATTGTATCTAGGTGCATCTATTGAAATTAATTCTGATTTACAAAAACAATTTGGTGTAGGTGTACCGATTGTATTGTAATTATTAACACAAGGAATAAAAAAAAATTCTTCTTACATTTCGATAGTTTTTTTTCTTCATATGCGGTTGGAACTATAAGAACAAATCGTTTTGCTAATCCACCTTTTTTGGTAGATAAAATAATGTCAACAATTGGACGTGGAACATCATATGAAATAAAATCTAAAAAAAAACAATACCTTTTCTTTGAACAGAACATATTGAAATGGTACGATAATAAACCAGTTAATATGGCATCTAATTTTATTACATCTGGTCAAGTTGAAATTAAAAAACGCTAAGACAAAAAAAAAATCATGTGTTCAAATAGAAAAACCGGAGATTATAACATTATTTAATAAATCAATGGGTGACGTTGACAAAATCAATCAATTTATAAGTACACATGGAACATTTATGGACATTATGGCTCATAATACACGCTTTTGATTTGATAATGGCTAATTTTTGGACTCAATATATAAAAGATGCAAAATTTTTAAACATCCAAAAAAATAAAATCTTAGATTTGTTACATTTTCGGTTGCAGTTACCTAATGTAATAATAAATTGTTGTAAAATAACAACTCCAAAAAGAAAAGGCAGACCTAGTAATATTTCTACAGATAGGAATACAAGATGTTTATCTAATTTTGAAAATGTATGCACATAAATATCATCACAAGCAAATAAAAAAATAAAAACTGATAGTCTTATTCATCCCGATGCAGTAAGATACAACACAATAGATCATTTGCCTGTTAATAACTTGAAAAATCCTTTAAAATGCAAGCTTCCAAAATAAGTAGTACAATAAAGTAAAATAAAGTACATTTGTGTTTGGCTTCAGGAAGAAATTGTTTTGCTGATTTTCATATTATGAAGTAGTACATACATTCAAATAACTCAAGAAGAGGATTTTATTTAATTTATAAAAGTTATATATTTATTTTATTGTTTTTATATTAAAGTTTATAAATAGGTTGTATACTGTTAATAATTTAAAAAGTTTTTATTTATTTTATTAGAACTAAGCATGTAAAGTTGCAGTTATTGAAAAGGAATAATCGATTTTTCAATAAATAAATTATAAAATAAAAATAATGTACCTACAAAATTTGTATATTTTTTTCCATTCAATCCGATGGTTAGGTATTAGGTAGTATTTGTAACCCTACTGGTTTTCTTGGTAAAAATAATTAAAACTACCAAAAATTGGCGAACATTATTTTTTTACCTATTTAAGTATACAATTGATGAAAAAAAATTTTTTTTTTTTTTGTATAAAAATCTCAGGTCTGAAAGGGTTAAACAGTTATTATCTAAATATGATTCAATATATTCTGATTTATTTCATCATAACTCTTTATTGGTCGAATAAAGGTTTAGTGATTAAACATTTTTGGAATACCAAAGCAGAAATAATCACATTTTTAGTAAATTTGGAAGATGGAACGAGAACTATCATACGCTTTTAACATACAAGTGTAATATGGTGCTATAGTTTTTTTAAAAGACATTCTTGAATATTTAAATGTTTTTAATACCAAGGAACCTGGTAATAAAATGTAAATATGTGATATGATATCAAGTGTATAAGCATTCTGCTAAAAGCTTGAATTATTTAAACAATATATTGAAAATCAAAATTTTATTAATTTTCCTATAATACCAGTACTTGGAATAATAAAAATAATTCTGACATAGATTGCAGTGTCAGATTTTGTTAAAGATTTTAAGAAAAGATTCGAAAATTGCCAAAAATGAAAAACACAATATTTTAAGAAATCTCTCTAATGTAGCTACAAAGTTATTCAGAATTCCCAAATTTTTACTTCAAATTGAAATTATTAATTTGTAAGAGGATATTTCTTAGAAAATATACAAAACACATTTACTGAAGATTTTTTGGTAAAGACTGTTTTGGATAGGTATATTAACTATAATGAATTGGTTGTAATATTAACTACCACTTGGCTCCATATACATATGTGAAATGTTGTCACGAAAATGTATAAAGAACAAATATAATTTAATTGAAATTTAATTTAATTTAAATTAACTGAGATCAACCTAAAATATATTGCACAAAAGTTTTCCAGATCTCCTTCGAAACTAACAATGTTGTTAATGTTCCTTTTATAAAGGAATCCTTTCAATTCCTTATTAATTTAATATAAATAAGAATTCATTCAGTTTCTTATTAATTTAATATTTAAAAGAACTCATTCATTAAAAATGCATCTAGTTCCAACGTAAGTGTACCATAAAAATTAAAACTTAATAAAATTATTTTATTATACGTCCTAAATATTTGAATTTGAAGTACAAATGTATATAAAATATTTCTTATACTTCTTAAATATCTTATACTATACTCAAAACACAACATTCATTTTTTTTAATTGCAATCATAAAAATTAATGCAAATTTAAATATGATTATAAGTATTTTATTATAATAAATATGTATAATATTATAAAATAAATAACACACATTCCAATTTCAGCTATACATGTTGTTTTGATTTAAAATTACAAGTTGAAGAAACACATTTTTAAGGAGAACAAAGTTATCACAATATTTATATTCATATTCCAAAAATAAGGAACTAATTCATGTTCCTATTTCTTTTTAAAATTTTGGAATGAATTTCTGCATTAATTCTTCTAAAAAAGAATCTATTCCAAAAATCGTACTTTTAGGAATGTATTCTTTAAAAACACTGAAAACCACTTACTGATCAATATAATGGATAAATTTTAAAAAATGTTTATATTCTATTTCCAAATTGGAGTGTTAAATGAGAATTTTTTGATTAACTATTTTGAAAAAATTAAATATTAAAATACTTTAATTAGTTAAATTAATTCTGATTAAATATTAATACTAATTATAATGTAAGTAAAAATGTATTGTAATACATTATTATACTTTAGGTTCTACCAAGAGGAGTAAGTGGAGATGTTTATAATTTGGCCGATATAATATTGTCCCAGGCTTTGGTCGGTTCTTATCCCAATGAATTGGTACTTTCCTATTTAAGACACTCATTAAACTGCCAAGTAAGTCAAAATATTAATTTTAATACAATTTCAAGATGATAATATATTATGTACTTTGTTTTAAGCTTGTGTCTTATGCAGCAATTCTTCAACGTATTAGCAAATATGATAAATTTCATAAGAGATCATGTGTCATTGTCTTGCTGGATTTCCTAGAATCAACACTTGTATGTATAATTTTTTGTCATTTTTTCACATTTTACATCAAATTAATCACTAAAAAAAATATGTTTCTATCAGCATGGTATAACATGTCGAGGCAAACCAGAAGAGAGTGTACTTCCTGGAGCACTATTATCATTGGTAGATTGGCTGTTGACATGTATTCGTAGTGGACATGTGCCTAAAAATGGTACCACAAATCGACTTGAAGATCGTATTGCTAATAAATCCATCCAAATTTTAGAATACCTTTTGAATAATGATTTTGTATTTGCCATGCTTTATTTGGCAAAACACGATGATGCTAGTAAGTGGTTATACAATAAGTTAATTATGGGTTAAAAGTTATAAAATTGTTTATATGTTCTATTTTAATTTAGATCTATACTTGATTGTTGTCAACAAGTGTCAAGAAATCAGCCAAGATGTACAAAATTCAATAGACACAAATATTCCACACGTGCACTCGGTTTTAATGTTAATAATTTTGATAATATTTACATATATTTTTTTTTCTACAATATATTTGTAAACATTTTTCTTCTCTTTTTTTTTAGACAATTATGTAATATTGACTTCAAAAATTCAATAAAACTTACAGCAATGGAATCAGTTACAACATATAATGAACCAATCACATATGTGTTACAACCGTTATTAGCCATTAGAGTCATGTTGAACCCTACAGCAGAGACGCAAGTACTGGTAGATAAATTGAAATTGATTCGTCAAATAAAAGTTGGTAGCTCTATTATTTAGTAAATCTCTTATTATACATTATTAATTAATACATTTTATGTTTTTAAAAGGGTTACAGCAATCCTCGGTTGTACTGCGAATTAATTCGTGCTTGTCTCATGTGTCTGCGAGATTCTTTGAGTAAAGAAGATCATGGACCCCAGTGGGGTGCATTTACATTCATCAAACTTCCTCATATCATAAAACATCTTTGTGAGGATTCTAAAAGTTTTAAAGCCTCCGAAGAAGTGATTCAAGGATTTGAAATGCTGTTAGAAATGTTTCCACTATTAGATTTTATTGATTCGCATACAGCCTGCAGTTCAATAGAGCTTTTGCTTAATGAATTAGTGAAATTAGATTTTGTGACAGAGAATCAATGTAGTTCAATAATTAACAGGAGGTACTGATTGATTCTTTTCTAACTTATAAAATTGATTAATCAAATGCTTATATATACCTATAATTATGTTTTCAACTTTTAGAGCAAGTGTTGTTTCAACACTCAACAGTCCAAAACCACCATCCAATGTCTTGACAATTATTATGAGAACAGAACCTACATTACAACGAATGCTTAGAACATTTGACTCTGAGTACTCTAAAATTCAAGTAAATTATTATTGGATTATATATCTCACAGCAGAGTTAATGTGGTATATATATATATTTTTTAGGAGGCTTTAGTAAGTGTACTAAGTCAAGTACTCACTGGAAAAAGTTTAGAATTGATTTTGGCAGCCGCATCAGTGGAGGGCAAACTTCGCATGTTTGTTTCTAAAGTTATTAAATGTAACGAATTCAGCAAACAAATCAATCTACAAGATACTCCCAAATCTATATGCACAAATGCAGTATTATTTGATATGACATTCTTGATGCTCTGTTTTATTACTCAAAAATATGGACATCAAGTAACTTCAAAATTCCAATCCTAATAAAATAATCATAATTTTTTAATTTATTATTTTCAAACTTTAGGCAATTTTGACCGATGGTGGTAGTAATGATACATTCTTCGAAAAATGGTGTCGACAGTGTATGGTTGAACTAGGAAATCCTAAGTCTCATGAAACTATAATGGGTGAATGTGATCCAAATAAAGTAGAAGCACTATTAACAGCTATTGATAACGGAGAAGAATTAATAAACTGGTTTGTAATTTTTCCCATTTGTGAGCACATTAATATAAATTTTATATTTTTAGTGATTCGAGTTGGGATCAAATTTGTATATCTATAATTGGAGCCACTCACGATGTATTAGTTGCCTGGGAAAACTCTACTCTTAGTAGTAATGACGTGAAACGTATTTTAGATTCAATGGGTTCTTCCATGTTTTGTTTGCCTATTTGTGCAGCAGCATGGCTTTGTTCTTACATGCAGGTATAAATTTGATACATTTAAAAAAAGTTTAAAATTAAATTAGATCATCTGATAAAATTAGGTATTACATCAAGACGCTTTACTTAAGCCACTAAACATGGTACAGCAGTTATTAAATGTTATTCCTGAACCTGAAGAGAATACAGAAACCTTCTCTCAATGGTGAACTTTTTTAAATATAATGCATTTTGACTGTTATTAACAAATCATACTTTACAGCCGTCAAGCATTAATGTGTCGAATAATTCGGAAAATGCAGCAAGACTTGCACCCACCAACAATGCCATCAAAACCTTCTCACAGGTATGTTCACAATTTGTTCTTCCCTCTCTAGTTGCTCTTATATTTTAAAACTACCATTTTTTTAGTATCGTATCAAAAGATTCCATCCTTGAACAGCTCATACCCATTTGGGAGAGTATTTTGGAAGAAGGTTGGTTAAATATAAAAGCTGCTCAAAAATTGAAAACTACATTGTTCACAGCAGGATCAGATTGGTTTGTCAACAATTTGATAAAAGTAATATTTTATGAATAAAATTGTAAATAAATTATCAAGCACTATTCAATAATGTCATTCTGCAGGAAATGATGAAGTTGCAGTACCGCGATGAGCTCGAAAAAGCTGTAGATTTACTATTCGCCATATTTCACTTTGATATTGAGTTCTGTACACTTGCATTACTTGAATTAATGCCTCAGTATTTGTTTAATCCAGATATGTAAGTAATGAGATTATAGAATCTTTATTATCTATGATCAATCAACACTGGTTGATTGTTATTAATTTAATATGATCCAACAATATTTAAAATGAATTAACTAATTTTCATTATTCAGTGATATTCTAAAATTCCCATTTTACTTAAAGGTTTAAAAAGAAATTTAAATTAATGTACAGTAGATGGTTTTTAACAATAAACCAAGTCAATAACTTTAATTTCTTTGTGTCTATTTCTATGAGTTAGTCAAATTAATTCAATTGTTGGCAGAAATGTGGAGCTGATTGAACCGCAACAGACTGCTTTGGCTAAATTGTGTTCATACTGCATTTATGCATCAGTGGAATTTCAACAAAATAGTATGGTTAAAAACGAAGTTCTCAAAACTACAAATAGCATGGATATTGTGAGACATTGATACACCCACTTAAGTAATCCATTGAATTATTTAATTATTTAATTTTAGGACATTGATAACTCATGGCCACCTAATAAAATTATGCGTCTGGATAATGGTGACTGTGATAACACTGGTACTGGTATAAATGGAACATTATTAAGAGCATTAGTCGCACTTTTTCGTCGTATTGCTGTAGTCGCTTCTAGACATGAACAGTTGTGTCGAGAAACTCATTTCGTACTTAGATTACTCGAGCAACTTGTCATGTGTGGACGTGGATCTTCGCAAATCATTCTTAAACATTTGCCACCATCACTGGTTAGTAATTATACATATCTTATAGCTGAGTAATGAATACACCTATTGTGACTTTGATTCTGTGTTTTAGTTACCAAATCTTATACGCTGCGTTCCAGAACTTTTTACTGTTGACCTGATATTGAACTTATATGACTTAAATTGGCCGTCTGGTCGTAAAGCTGCCACTAGTGATCTGTGCCTATTGCAGAAAACCCGTTGTGCAAAAAACACAGAGTAATGTCCCAGAATTAGTACTAGAGCGATAAACACTTTTTTTTTTTTTTAATTTGCCTTTAATAAACACTTTTTCCATTGAAAATTAATTAATGTTGATTTCAGGTATTTGTAGTCAAGTATTACTAGTGAAGATCAATTATACGGATATTCTGAATAATCGAGCCACAAAATGAAATGTTGGTCTAATACTGATACAGATCGATATAGGTCACGGATGTACTACCGATTTGAAATCACTCCGCAATATTACAACAACAAATTAAAAAACCATTATTAATAATATAATACTTTTGGGATTGTTTTTGATATAATTATACTGAGGGATTTTGTATTATAACTTACTTAATATATAGTTAATTTGTATTTATATGCAATGTGTTCAAGTGATTTAATAATAAAATAATTTTTTTTATTACTTTATTTATTTTATAACAACAAATAATATAAAAGAAAGGTATTGAATGGTTTGGAGAAACAGAACTGAATAAATCTATCCATGAAATTATTCATTAACTGCTTTGATGACTTATTATTGGTAGAAGGAGAAAATGAACGAATTATTGATTTTCAAAGAAAATATAAATCTTAATTAAGACTGATTAAATTGTGCCATAAATATTATTAATTAACAGTGTCATTCATAATAGATTCGTGTACGAGTTGGAATTTTAACTTGGAAATCGAATATTTTTAAGCAACAAAAAAATAATTAGTAGTAAACATAATACAATAATAATTACTGTACTATGTGAATTTCAATAAATAAAAATGAAAAATGTATATTAAGTCTGAAACCTAATAATAAATGAGGTTGAGTAAAATATCAGATATTTCATTGTAGGAACTCTCATCCACCTCGAGTTAGACGTACAATGAAAGCAATTTTGTGTTTCGATTGTTACCCACTAAGTCTATTAGTAATTTTGCCTCAGTGAGTATATTATAGAATTTATATAGAAAAATATAAAACATTAATAAATTAAATTACCATTCACGTTGAGATCTTTTCCTTCGTTTGCCCAATACTTTTGGAACTTGGACCTATTTTTGAAGTCCAGATGTCTAGGATTTCAAATAGATTGCCGTCAAAAACAGTGATTGTTGTTTGCGAACAGAACAAATGGAGAAGATGTTTTGATGATTAATTGCTGAATATTAAACTATTTTGTTCTTTCAGCAACACGCATTCAGTGGGGCAAGTACATATGAATTATAAATTATTTATTCACTAAAATGCTCTCAGTACCTTTAAAATAGTCAAAAACTGATGAAAAATAAAACAAAGAAAAAAACCATAAAATTAAAAGCAGTTCAGTAAAATAGAATAATTGTTTTCATTATAACTTAAAAAAATAAAAACTATTGAGACTTAAAATTTTCAATGAATTATATTAGTTTTCTATAGGTGGATAATATTTCAAAACATGTTGACTAATTTCTATCTATGAATATTTGAATATTCCATATATTTTTTTTTTTTTTTGTAAAATGTAAATAAAATAGTTTTAGTTTGACATAATGATGACCACTCTTTTTTAAAAAATTTAAAAGTATTTGTTTATTAAATTTTAACAAAACTCCAATATTCGCTACATTCGAGTACATTTAATACTTGAAAAATTTTTGAAATCAAGTAATTACAGTTGATTTGATGAAAAAATATTAAAATTAAATTAATGGTAGTAGAGTACTAAGTATTATTAGTATTTACGTTTGAATGGAAATTTTTAATTGGTTTAAAAAGGATTTTTAATATGTAACTCTTTTGGTACTTCTAGGTTTATTTGTCAAATTTCAACACAGTTAAAAAATACGATATTACTGTAAAACTAAGGAATAAAAATAATAAGCCTGAAAAATTTTATTTTTATTTTTTGTGTACAGTACACATAAAATTATTTGAGGATAGAGAAATTATCAAATTGTTTTGTAATCACATCAAATGAAATACATAACAATTACTTAAGAAATATAATACGTATGTTTGTGGTATTTTTAATAGTAAACATTATCAACCTACAAAACTAAATTTGACATTGCATCAACCACATTATGATAATAAATAATAATTAACGGAAGCATATTAATAATGTACAAAGGTATTGACATAAACACACTTCTTAAATTATAATATAATCAGTCATAACGCAAACTAAAAGACAATATTTTATATACCATACAAATATATATGTATACAGTATACATATGTATGCAATAATAAATAATAATAAAAATAACAATACGCGTAGTTAATTTATATGAATAGACACATTGTCATCTAAACAGTAAATGCTAATTGCGTTTAAAATAATATATAGGTAGAAAAAATAAAATATAATAAGAGAGTAGAAAAATTATAGCTTAATATACAAAGTTATAGAACATTTTATTAATTTTGTTCTGATATAGGTCATGAAAAATATTATTAATGTACGAGACAACAACAAAATCATGTAATATTAATATGATGATATAACATTTGTTAGAGTAAAAAAAAAAAAAAAAACCATTGTAGTCATCTGAAATATATATCGATATAAAAAATAACTTAGAGTTAAGCTGTTTAATCTTTAAATTTTTGAAAAAATTAATTGAAATTTAAAACCAATAAAACAAAAACATTATATTAATGATTATACTTCCACCAACTAAAAAAATATCTATTCTCATTTATTTTTCACAACCTATATTATGAATACATTGTATTAAAAATTATTCACAACATTATAATCAAATGTAAAAAAAAAAGATTATTTATTACATTTAGATATCACTATGCTAATAACTTTGGTACTACAATCCTATTTAACCAAATATTTGCCAAATAATACATTTAAGAGTATAACTATAACCAATAATATTTCGGTCCCTTCAACTGCAATAAAACAATAAAACTTTATTGATATAATTTTGTCATAACTGCACACTTTATATTTGAAAATCATACACAGTTCAGGTACACAATATATTACAGGATTATTATTGTTATATTCTGATACATACAGACATTTCTAAGATTGAGAAATATTATATTAATTTAATGTTTTAAAATAATTATAGATTAGGCACATTCAATTTACATTATATAATATATATAACTGTTAAATTATCTTTATTTTTAATAGTATTGAATATATAATTTTACTCAATTTTATTTTTAAAACGTTTAATAAAATTAATATATCAACAATTAAGTGTATTGTTAAAATGTAATTGATGAAATTTTTATAATTAAAATATTTATGTGGTTTTTGTTTGTATGTGTGCAGTTATAAACAATGTCTAATAATATTTAATATATACTTTCCAGATAAAATTATTATAATCTTTCATTTAAATTATAATTAAATATATTTGAGCACAAATAATTATTTAAACAATACAACAAGGGAAAAAATAAAAAATATTCAACTATACCAAAGATTATAAAGTGAGCATACATAGATCTATTTAAGACTTTTACATGTGAAATATTATTTGGTTTTAAAATAATTGCAAAAAGAAAACAAAATTGATACAGGAAAAAAAAAGGTATAACTATGATGAAAGTAATAGTTTTCAATTTAATAATAATTTTTTAGCATTAAATATATTTTGAAATTAGCCTATATATATATATATATGTGTGTGTGTGTGTGTATATGAAATAACAATCCTGAACACTGAAAAATTAGATTGAAACAAATGACTTATAATTTTTGTAGTTCAAGAAAAATTAATAAAATTGACAGGCAAAAATTAATTGTTATACATATTTAACTACAAAATAGGTCAAAATAGGTCAAATACATCAAATCTAGTTACTTAGCAAAAAGCTTAAGAAACTTACATAAGTCACTTTATATCTTTCAAATTATAACAATTATTTAAAAATTATATTTACAAAATGTTTATGGCAACAAAATGTATTTTGACAATTATTTTTGAACTTCATTGATACTACATATAATTCAAAACTAAAATTATTTATTTTTAATTTATTGTCGATGACAATAATAATGATAATATTTTGTTATGTTTAAGTTATAATTATGATACATACCTATGAAGAAGTCTTAAAATGTATTATTATTTTGGCAATTTATTGGCAACAAAAAAATTATTATAGTCTAAATTCTATAGAACAACAATGTAGGTAATTATTTAATTATGGACACAAATTTCCAAAAACAATGATAATAAAAAACAGAGTAGAAAGAAAAAGTAAAATAAGAACCAGGAGTGGATACATGGGAAGTTATGGCAATCCTCTCTTACAAATTTTAAAATCAATTTAAGATACTTATTAAAAAAATTAAAATAATATAAATTTTTTTTTTGATGCGAGCTTTTAGATATGTTTGCCTCTCCTTCTTCTATAAATAATAACCATCTATATTCACCCACCCTCATATAGAACATAAAATAAGGAGATAAAATTACAAATTTTAAAGTAAAAAAAAAACAGTTACAGCATTATAACTTAGGTCAAGTAGTATTAAAATATAAAGTAGTTGACTTATGTAATAATCTAATATAAAATAATATGTCACTTGGATTGAGATAAATGGTTACGCATTATCACAGATGACGGAACGATCAGTTGATAATATTTAAGTAATGACTAGTGGCTCGTCATCTGAAAAGCCTTGAACTGCTGGTTCATCATCTGAAAAATTAACAGCATAAATAGAACATCAATATTAATTGAACTAATAATTTTTAACTATAAATTTTATTATTCATTATGAATATATGCATAAAATATTGAGTTTTTATACCTTTAAATACTCCTAGACCTAAGAGAGCATGAAAAATACCCAAAATTAATTATAAATAAATATTACATTAAAATTTTATAATGCACTGAAGTTAATAAAACTTTAGAAAAATATAACAGAAACAAATATTTAAAATAAATACTACTTACCTAGACTGTCAACTCCAGTGAAAGTAGCTGATCCAGACCGTGTATCGTATCGACTATTGGCAAATTGCACGAAACTATTTTGTAAATTCCTATGTCTAACAACAAAATATACCAATCCTGCAGATAATCCTACTACTAATAGTACCAAAATCATAAACGTCCATCCAGTATTGACACCAACAACCACTGGGTCAGAATTTTGCATATCAGCTATAAAAATATACAAATATACATTTATGAATGTAATCACAATTAATAAAAATATTACATCTATAGAAATATTGTACTTACCATCGATTGAATTAAACGAGAATACTTCAGACATACGAGATACATAGCCTGCATCTGTTGCCAACTGCACAGCAACTGACAATTGATTACTTTTTGGTGGATCGCTGATATTAAATGGTGAATCTTTAGCACTATATGTTTGGGCAATTGTGCTATTTATTTCACTGCCTGCAGATATATGTACCAAATAATGAATGACTCTATAAAAAATACACATATATGTATCATAAAATTGTGTGACAACCAAAAAGCTACTGGATTTACGATTTTTGAAGTGTAGAGGGTAGTATAGGTTTTTTCCAAGATACTTCATAGTGACCACCAGGCATGTTGAATACCTTAACCTGATGAGGAAGAGGTAGTTCTGGAGCACGATAATTAATTAATGATGATGGAATAGCGTTTGGTGTAATGGTTGACACACTAATTAAATAATTCCCACCATAATTTATGGGAACGGTAAGATGAGCTTCAGCATCAAATACATTTGAAACAGAAATTTCAGTCTTATTATTTTTGTAAGTTTCCAGAATATTTACCTGAAAGCAAAAATAAAAATACAATTTGGATATGGACTAAATTAAGATATTTTTATAAAAAATTTACTTTATAAGACTGTTGAACTGAATGACAAGATGCTTTCCAGCTAATAATAATCATTGCTTTGGTAGAATGTTCCATTGGTTCAATTTTAATGTCCTTAGGTGGAACAGTCGGATCGAATGGAGTAGTAATTTCAAGTGGTCTTTTAGACAATGGTCCAATACCATTGGGACCAATGATACCAACATCAATCGTTAGTGATGTACATGATTCAATATTGCTCAAAATAGCTATAGTTGCTGAAGTATTATACTTATGTCCTAAAATTAATATTAAAATAAGTTCTGAAAATTAAAATTACAATTCTTAATTTAACAAACCACTGAGAAGTTCATTAGTATTTGTGCCATAATAAACTCCGTACAACCACTTGGTTTTTTCCAACTGTTTAGGTGGACTCCATTGTACTTTGATTGTAGACTCTTTTTTATCTTTAATGTTAACCAAAGAACCAGTTATATTTGTCACAGTCGGTAATTGTTGACCTAATTATTAAAAAAATTAATATTGTTGGTCTGGATTTTAATTAAACTAATTTTTACCTTCAGTTTTTGCAGAAATAATGTATTTCATGCCAATATATCGTTTATTGTATGGTGTTACATTAATTGTATATCTTACACCAGGTGACAATTTGGTGACTAATAATAAGTATAAAATAAATAAAATATTAAAAAAATTTCTTAAAATTAAATGAAACTTACTTATTAATTCATTTTTTCCATTAGATACATTAAATGATTGGACAGAATTAGGATAGGGTCCTTCTTTAATCGGTGCTGATGATACAATATTAAAACCTTCTGCATGTTCAACACTTTCCCAAGTTAAAGTCAAACTATTTTCGGTTGCATTAATGATATTTAATTTTAAATTAACATCTACTAAAGAATCTTCATCGAAGTGGAACCTTTTCACAGCAGATCGTTCAGATTCAAATTCAGATGTCTTGGCAGTAACCTAGATACAAAACACAATAATAATAAATAATAATATTCTATAGTTATTATTTTAAATCATAAAATATTTACCCAAAAACTATATTCAATACTTCTGCGATATAATGATGATCGAACAGGATATGATTGAGTAGCATTGTTGTAATCAGCTTCAACAGATAAAACCATTGCTGGATGTGGTGGCTCAACATAAACATTATATGATAAAATGCGACCAGCTGGATTTTCTGGTCTAGTCCACGTGACTAATACTTCTTCGGAATTGACTTGTTTAACTATTACATTTAGTGGAGCACTGGGAACTGCAAATTTAATTTAATTTAATTTATGTACAAATATTTTCATTTAATTGTACATACCGCCTTCAGAAGTTGTGGCCAGTATGAAATATGCAGGTGGATAAATAACATCAGGTTTATTTACTTCACGGACATATACAGTCAAATTATAGGTAGTATAAGGCTTGAGCAATGTAAACCTATAATTAGTTTTACTTGTCCAAGTTTTATTAATGCATGTTTCTGGCATTCGGAATTCACTAATTGATGGTAAATATTCTAAACTACTAGAATATGTTGGAGCTATCCAATTTAAAAGTAGTGAATTTGGAGTTGTTTCATGATCTTGAATAGACATTAAAGATACCTATAAATAAAGTAATAATTTATTTTCAATAATAATACATTCTAAAAACAAAATGTACTTTAAAAAAAAATACTGTTTAATTATTTTGAACTTTGTATATATTATACTATTATTAAACAATTTTTTAGATAATAGAAGTAAAAGTTTACAGAAGTGTGTATTATAAAAATAAGGTTTAATTGCATTATTAATTAATCTCTAAATAGTTTAATTAATAATTCTAATTTTCAAACGATATGAGACAATGAAAAATAGTCTTAAAAAAAAAAATTATATGAAATTGAATAACTATGTAATATTTCATATAAAACAACAATGAAAATATTATAATTTCTTAAATTGCAATGATATATGCAAAAATAAAAAAACTTTAAAATATTTTCATTGAAATAAGAATAAATTGGCAGTTTAATATAATTCAGATACTAACTTGAATACTGTAAGTCTTGTTTGCTGAACTACAATTTTCTTCGTCAGTGCCATCATAACAATCTTTGTGTCGATTGCATCGTTTTGATGCAGGAATACATTTGCTGCCATCACATGGAAATAGACCTATTCCACAACTTGGAGTTCCTGGAGCTGAATAAAAATAAAATGTTGTTTTATAGTAAACAATATACTTAACCCAACCATATAATTATCAATTATTAATAAGTAATATTTACTTTGATTATTATTAGTACAAAACATTTCATCACTTCCATCTGGACATTGTGGGGTTCCATCACAGACATTATCAGTACTAATACAAGATCCAGATATACGACATTTAAATTCATTACTATTATTTTTGCAACGACCAACAAAATTGTTGTTTTTGCAATTGTTTTCATCTTCACCTTGATCGCAATCAGCAATTTCATCACATATCCAAGAATCTTCAATGCATAAGCCTAAATCAAAAAATCACAAATAATTATTTATAATTTTAATTTTGTTTCAACACTAATATTTTAACAAAATGCAATAAAGAGATCTGTCTATTATTAGCCATTTATATATAATGTATTATAAAATAAAACAATTATAAGTAAGTTGAAAAATCAAAACTAACCGCTATTGCATTGGAAATAATGTTGAGGACACATATTTTTAGGAGTAGAAACAGTAGAAGTTTTATGAACATCTAGAGATGGCACAGTTCCACATTGTTCTTCATCTAATCCATCTTCACAATCCATTACTTTATCACATTTCCACCAATAAGGAATACATTTTCCATTGCTACACTGGAATAACCATTCACTACATGTATCCTAAATAATTGTAAAAAAAAAAAAAAGATAATAAATAATAGTTAGTAAATATGCATATATTCAAAATTAATTTAAACATTTTTACTCACATTAGTAGTAATAAATGTTGATGCAGGAGTTGTATTTGAATCAACAATGAAATGCTTAGTTGTAGAGGAACAATTAACTTCATCACTTTTAAATCCATCATTACAATCATCGTCTCCATCACATTTCCAAGATGCAAATATACATTTTTTATTGGCACACTAATTAAAAAATAATATATAAATATATTATAAATATAACATAAATAACTAATTATAAATAACAAACCTCAAACTGCCAATTTTCACAGTTTTTAACTTCACAATTGATTTCATCTTTTCCATCTCGACAATCTTTTTCACCATCACATTGCCATTTAATTGGAATACAAGTGTTAGCAGTATCAGGGCAATGAAAACTATTTGCTGAAGGAAGAAAAGAGATTTATAAATTATAATATAATTGAAATATATATTAAATTAATATACTAATATACTAACGTGGGCAAGTAGTTGAAGAATTACTGGAAATATTAGAACAGTCAACTTCATCTGATCCATCATGACAATCATCTTCTAAATCACAACGCCAATGCATAGTAATACATCTGCCATTTTTACAACGAAACTGTCCATCCGAACAGTTAGAATATTCTGAAAGTTTTTAAATTAAAAGTAAGTTTGAGGATATTTTATCAAATGTAAGTTTAAAATTCTGGGTAATAATTTACTACCATAAATTTCATTCAACATTTGTAATGAATAGAATACAGAAAATAAATATTTAAGACGAATAATTTCTTATAATCTTGTAAATCATGAATAAGCGAAAATATAAAAATTATCTAATTTTAATTTTATTTAACTGAAAAATTACATTAATATTAATGTATAATCAATATTTTAAAAAAATATTTTCATTTGCAAAAAAAAAAATAAGATTGTTTAAATGATTTTATATTAAACCTTAGAATAAAACTTTTATTAAAAATATGAATAATCTTATTTTCAACTGAACTATTTACACTATCAATATATTTTAGTTACTAATCATAGACATATTAATATTCATTAAAAGTTTCATACAAGAAATTACATAATAGATTACCCTATGATCATACAACATTAAAGTTTAGGTTTTTTTTATTTAATTTTATCATTTATTACAATTTGTTCAGAAATAGAAACTATTAATTCCAAGAATAATAAAATCAAACAAATAAATTACAAATAAGGTCATAAGTATTTTCTTTAACTGTTGTTAATAAATAATTGTTCTAACATTAGATATTTATATGAAAAATGTATTTGCTGATAAAATATGTAAGTATAAGTAATACTATTGATTTTAAAATATACTGTATAAATATAATATATTCTAAGCTTAATGGTAATATACATGTATTAAATTTAAGAATCTGTAGCTTTATAACCATATTTTAAAATAATAAAATTGGTATACTTTGAGTATTTAGTAATAACTAAATTTGTAAAAAAAAAAAAAATTTCTATTGGAATTTATTTAAATATTAATTCACAAAAAAAATAAAATAAAATAAAAAAAGATGTATATTTACTGCAATTTAATTCATCTGAACCATCTTCACAGTCAGGATCAAAATCACATGTCCAATATAATGGAATGCACTTTCCGTTATTACATTGGAATGAATTTGGACCACATGAAACTTTAGTACACTTTGTCTATAAAAAATTATAAAGTCATTAATAAGAATATACTAATATATATATATATATATAAGAGAAATGGTAAAAAGAAAACTTAGCAAATTGTAAAGAAAATACAAACTATGCACGAAAAGAAAAAAAAAAAGAGAAAAAAGAAAAGCACTCATTGAATTTTAACTATTCCAGAATACTAATTAATACATTATTATGCCTCATATTATTAATTAAATTAGATAAGTAATAACAAAAAAATATGAAATAATATTGTTTTATTTATTAAAGATGTTTGTTAAAAATTCTTTTGCTTTAAACCAAGATTTTCTATGTCCTTTAAACATCACACGGTATAGATGCAAAACATAGGTTGCCACCCCTTATATATATATATATATATATATATAGATATTTGACATGAACCAATTGTAGCAAATTGTTGTATCCAAAATCATTAAAATAAGAAAATGCATAAATAAAAAGAATCAAGAAATCAGTACTCTTTTACACAGTGGAAACATGTTTTTTAAGTTATTGCAAAAAAATTGATATTTATATACTTAATTATAAAAAAAATATAATATTTTGAGGAAGATAACAAATTATTGAAACTTACTTCATCTGAATTATCTCCACAGTCATTATCACCATCACATTGCCAATACTTAGGTATACAGTTACCATTAGAACACTGAAAATAGTCAACTGAACAAGTATGACCAACTAAAATAAGAAAAAGTCAATGTTAAATGTTATAAAACTGAAATTAATAAATCTACATTAAATAATACCTAATAATAGACTACAAAATAACATAATACAGTAGACTATTAATCATTGGTGCACATACAGGAGTGCCAAATGGATGCTTAGCACCCCCAATTTATTCAGATGTAAAAATATTGTTAAAAGATTATATTGTGTTCATTTCGGTTTGCATTGGAAACGCACAAATGCAACAGACATATAATGTACATCTATGTAAGCAGTAGGAATATTAAGTATTTGGGTTTATCATGTTACTTATTTACTTCGCATGTGATATTGGGATGATGATCAAATTTATTTATAGTACTTATTGTTAGAATACTATTTGGGATTTTGTTTTTGTATACCATCTATCAGTTTGATCGCTTATTGATAAAAAATAATGGATGATTTAGTTATAAAAATAGAAAATTGCCAATCATCACGTCAATATTTAGGGTGGGTTTTGTTCTTTGCTCAGTTTGCCCCTCTTCTCATAATTAATCTCGAGGTGAATAATTTTAACACTCCTAAGTTATAGGCAAAATGCACCTCTTTTGATAAGTCAAAGTTTAAGGAGAAGAAAATGTTGAATTATTAAAAATTAAATAAATTATATTTTATAAGGTATTTTATATATTATAAGTCTTTAAAAATTACATTTTTAATATTTATTATTGTAGAAATACTAGATATAATTCTAAAATATTTGGCTTTTTCAATAACTTTAAGCAAATTCATTTCTTCTACAAATAATAATGTAAATAATGTTAACTTTCTTTTTTTTGAACAATAATAATGCATATTATTAATAACTACACTACACTGTCATACTCACACAATGCATGATTTAATGAACATACTGCAAATAACTAAAACTGAAATCTATTGTATCAAGTTATCAAGGTTTGAGTTACCAACAGTCAATTATAATAGTTCACTAGTACAAAAAGTCATAAGTGGAAAACAATTACGGTTGTGCACTATTTTTGTACTAAATGTGGATAAGAAAGTTTGAAATATCAAAAACTTGTCCGATTAATTTTTGGGCTAACAAGATTATTTAAACGTTAAGTATTATTGTTACTTGAAGGGGAATTTTAATATTCGAGATATCTACTGCATTATAAATTGAGTTTTAACATAATATAACGTAAATAAGATGTGAGTAAAAAAAATTTAACAAGCGTAAACAAATTGTGTTACCTGATGGACAAGTACCATTGACAAATGGTTCCTTAAGACCAGGACAAAGGCAAATATCATCAGATTTACTCATATTGTCAGGACATTGACAAGAGAACTTTTGATTTGGTAAACCAAAACAAAAATGAGAGCATTTATTACTTGCACATGCATTAGTATCAATTTGTGACATATGAGAAAACACCTAATAAATAGTACATAAATAATAAATATAATTCATATAAGGAAAATATATTATACTTTTAAATCCATTAACCCAGGTAAATGTAACGCGATTGTTTGTATTTTAGCACCAAGATCCTTATCAGACATAAAAATTGAATTTTGCTTCCAATCATCCCAATAAATCCAATCTTTAAGAACAGCTACAGCAAATGGATGAGAAACTTTTTCCTGTAATTATAAATTTAATAAACTATACATTATTTTAAAATGGAATATTAATACTTACATCGTCTTTTATAACTTTTTTCATGTTATTCCCATGTAAATCACAAGAAGCTATATAATCATGTCGAGCATCCACCCAATATAATCGTTCAGCTATGTAATCAACAGCTAGTCCATTTGGCCAAACAACAGATTCATTATTAATTAATGTTTTCACGTCCGACCCATCTAAATTAGATCTCGCTACTTTGGCTTCACCAACAGCCCAATCAGTCCAAAATAAATAACTGTAAGTAATTAATATTTTAAATGATAAAATAATAAAAATTAAATAATATTTAAAAATTATTAAATGGTTAATATTTGTAATATAATAAAAAAATAAATAAACAGTTTATGTGTATATATATAAATAATTAAATTATTCACCACAATTAAAAATATAAAACAAGATTAAACATTAAAACGAAATCCAAAAAATATAAAATATAAATAAAGTATACATAAAATATATATTGGTAACTTTTTGTTTCTTTGGTAGTTTATATTTTATAGAAGTCTCAAACGATATATATTTTTAAATATCGATATCGAATTGATACAACCAATATTTTATCACGGCATCGAAATATCGATAAATCGAAAAATCAAAAAACTGATTTATTTCTATTTAGTATTTAGTATTTTCTAATATTTATACATAGTACATACCTAGGTATATATCCAAAATTTATAATAGATTTATTTTTTTTTGCACATATGTAAATGTGAATGAAGGTTTGTAGTATTACCATTAAACTTGATTGCATTGGAACAATTGCGACAAAATACTTCTTTTTTATTTAAAATAACTCCATTTAAATCAACTTTGAACCCGAAATGCTTCCATACTTCACTCCTTGCACCAAGAAGAGGTACCAATTTCATCACGTTAGCCATAATAATATTTATTATTTAAATTTTAATATAAGTTTTAAGAATCACGAATAAAACGAACAAACGTGAATAAAATGGCAAAAATACAACGATAGCAAATAAATAAAAGAACGCGAACAAAATAACAAAAAAACAACAATCGCGAATAAATCAAACTTATCAACTAAACCGAACGAACAAAAATATGACGAGAACAGTACAATACTATATAATATATAATAATATAGTATAACTCGTAAAGTATAATTAATAAATATGGGCGAATGGTCAAAATAGTACTTTACTATTTTATATTTATCATTTAATTCTATATAATATTAATGGGCATTGCCGCATTGGGTATTGAACAAGTTAAAAATAGATATAGATTATAGACAATTATCCATTTAGGTTACCCGCACTAGTGATGGACAGAAACGACTATTTGATACTACCGACTATTATTCGGTTTTCATTACGTACTACCGACTATTATTCGACTAATAATTTGCACGACCAACTATATACAAATCATAGAAATTAGTCGAATAATTAGTCGACTATTTTTTTCCAACCAACTAATATGAATAAATAAAATTAGTCGACTAATTATTCGACTACTTTTTTCCAACCAACTAATATGAATAAATGAAATTAGTCGACTAAAATAACTGACTAACTCGGTAATTCTAAGAAATTTAAATTGTAGTCGTAATTCTATTTAAAGGTAAGGTTTTGTTTCCGCAGTTGACTGCAGCAGTCTACATAGTCAAAACAAAAATAACGATAATGACACGCACGGTGCACGTCGCACACACTACAAATTTAAAACAGTTGTAATTTGTATTTATTTTTCCTAGTTATGTTTATGTTTTTTGTTATATTGTTGAATTAAAGTAATTCATGCTAAAGTTTGCAATCAGTCCAATAAAAGTCAGTTGAATAATAAAAAAAAGTCAAATTGAATAATGGTAATTAGTCGAATAATAAAGTAAGTCGAATAATAAAAATAAGTCGAATAATAATAACTTGTCAAATAATAAAAATTAGTCGAATAATAATAACTAGTCGAATAATAAAAATTAGTCGAATAATAATAACTAGTCGAATAATAAAAATGTTCAGAGTAACTAAATTAGTCATTTGATACTACCGACTAAGTCGGTAGTTATTAGTCACTTTTGCCCATCACTAACCCGCACACTACACGCTTTTTATCGGCCGATAGTTTTGTCGAGTTGAGCTGTTAGTGCGCACACTGGACCAACTAAACAGTCGGGTTGGTGGTGACTGCGTACACCTGCCAACAGTTGGCCGATCATTGCTATCGACAATTTTATTATATAGTTGTTATTATATTATATTATATGTATTTGTTGCTATTGAAGAAAGTGGTCGCGTGAAAATTAATGATAAAATGTCCAGAAATGTAATTATTGCTTTGATATAACGGAAAAGAAGGATTACGAAGAAAAGAAACCGAAAATATTGGGTACATTCTATCTACACTGATAGATTATTACAAGGAAAGTTCTATATAATGCACACAAAATTATTATAGAGCGCGGGTCTTTTTTCGATTTCCTCTATTAAATTTTCAATAGATGATTCGACAAACAGCGACATCTTCTACCAGCAATAATTTCCTGTGTCGACTTACCTTCTATCGGTCTAGTCGGCCAAAAAATTAATCAGCATGTGTGCGAGCGATGGGAGAGCGTCATAATGATTAAACAGTCTGCCGATAGTTCAATTTAGTTTGAAGGCAATCGTACAGTCCATCAAACTTATTAATCAGCCGATACCAAATCGTTATAATGTAGGCTCTTACATTAACCATACAATGTAAAAGCCGACTAAACTATCGACCGATAAAAAGTCTGTAGTTTATGGGCTCTTCTTTTATGCTATATTCAAAATGTTTAAATTATTTTAGATTTCTTATCGTAATGACGTAATACTATATACTATAGGTCCGATCGACCTATTTATTGTAAATAAAAATAATAAATATTAAATATTATATTTTATAGTTTGTTTTATACCTTAAACAGTGGTCGCATATGTAACATAACCTTAATAAATGCCCCATCCCTCGTTAAGTGATTTTTTTCTATATACCTACATTACGATATTTATTTAGATATCAAAATTTTCAATATCGATATATCGATTTTAATTTCGATACCGATATTAAATAAATCATGAAATTTGTACTTAATATCGATATCGAAAATAGCTGAAAAAAATCTAATGATATAGATATTATATCGAAATATCGATATAATTTGAGACCCCTAATATTTTATGATATATCTTAGGTAGTTTGCTATTTGGAAGTACTGATTTGATATTACTCACGAATGTGTTGGTGGTCTATATAGGATATTCGTCTAGTATACACCTAACAATGAATTTTTAATTTGAAACTGGTAGTACTTTACAAATAAAATAATACTCCAGACTAAGCATTTATTTATCTATATATTACTATTTAAACATTATTATACAATGTTGAGTTTAAGTTTATAATTTACTTACCCTGCTCTAGGATGGACAGCTATTCCTCTAGGTTTCTTTAAATAAGTAGGACCTAAAATAGTTCGACGCATGTGCCCAGGAATTTTATTATCAGTACGAATAACTTCAATTTTTGACATAGCGCCATCAACAAAGTAAAGATGTTTAGATACCCAATCATATGCCATTCCTTCAACACTACTAAGACCAGAGTTCACTAAAATTTCTGGACCTTCTTTGCCATCAGATAAACATTGTCGCTAAAATAAAATAATTAAATTTAAATTGACATTAAATAAAAGCAAAATATTCATAAAATGTTTAAATACTCCAATAGTATCTGTAACAATATCAGCCCAAAAAATACAATTATTTTTCACATCAAACTCAACAGCAATGACATTTTCTAGTTTACGGACAGGTAACACTTCGAATGGTTTATCATTGAGACTTAATCTAAGAATACGTTCTTTTTGAGCAACTAAAATGAATTCCGGTTTTTCCCTAAAAGTGATATATTAATTTAATAAATTTAATTATATCAGTTATAATTTTGAAATCAAAACTTACTCAAATGGACATGGAACTTCTTGAGGCATAAATTCTAAAGAACGACCTACTCTACACTTATCACCAGGAATTAAACGATATCCTTTAGTACGGTTATACATTTGACCAGGTTTACATGTTGACGGAATAATATAAGGATCAAAGCTACTTGTTTTATTCCTAATACATTGTTTAGAACTTGACATCCATGTAAATCCATGATCACTGAAAAATAATTAAAACCATTTTGATCTGTTAATTTTATTTTAATTTAAATAGTGCATATTATTTTTTTGAAAATTTGAAAAAATAATTTGTTAGTAATTATTTGAAGAGTATAATACTACTGAAATATCTGGCTTCGCACAGAATAGTCTTGTCTAGGGTATAATTTTTAACATCATAGTACCTTATATTATATAAAACCTAGCCATTTTTAAATAGCTTAAGGGTAAGAATTTTATATTATTGATTATAAATTCACAGTGCAATACAAATTGGCAGTAATATCTCTTTAAATGCAAAATAAATTGGCAACACAAATTTTTTTTTTAATTTTTTCTAATAGCAAATCTAGAGCATTAATGCTTTAATTAGAGAAACCACTATTTCAAATTTCAAGTTCATACATTTTTGAGATGTAATAATCAGTCAGTGAATAAGAAGTATTTGAATTTCATATGTAGATTAAAAGATTACCTTTCCATACATTATCATTAGAATAAACCAAATTAAAATCGAGTAAAACATGGCCTTAACTAAATGAAAATCTAAAGAAGACAATAACACTAATAAGATTACTACAGTCTACAATGAATGAGTCAACCAACAATTTTGGAATATATACTTAGAATTATAAATATTTTAATATTATATTATAACACGTATTATATTATTATTATATATTTAAGCAAAAGTATATGTGGTCTTTAATAAAAAATATGTATGAGCTAAAAGAATAAGTAAAGTATTAAAATTCAATTTTATTAAAAAATTAGACATTGTACATTAATGTTTTTTTTTTTTACATATTTTCTGCATTCTGGAAATAAAACTTTTTTGACAACTTGTTGTTTTATAGTAGCATGCAGATGACAGATAAAAAAGTAGTTCATAGTTACCATGTAAAATCTTCAATATCACATTCACATGTTACAGTTTGAATTGGTCGATCATCATTTAACCCGTTATAACAATTTGATTTAGGTGCTTTTCTTAAAAACATTTGAGTCTGCCCAAGAACACAGGATGTTTTCAAATGGTCGACTGAAGAAGTAGGAGTCCAAATTTTATAATCATCTTTGGTGCAATTATATGCTATACAAAATAATGATAATATAAATAAAATAAACACAGATATTAAAAAGATATAACTATAAAACAAATAAATTTAATTCAGTCTTAAGTATTATAATTATAATTATTAAAATGGTTTACTGTTAATACAGCTTAACTCATTTGAAGAGACATAATTATACATTATACAATATTTTATAATAAAATCCTCAATTCTAACAACTTTTAATAAAAATGAATGTATTTATTATTTATTATTAATATTAATTTTATGTTCACAATAAAATTATTTAAATGAAAAAAAATGTATACCAAAATAATTTTAATATTTTATTTATTGTATAAAATATGGTGGTATTTCTCAAAAAATTATTTAAAAAAAGTATTTGAAATATTTACTATGATAAAATATACTAATAACTTACAAAATGCGTTTTTCAGATCAATTTTAACTATTAACCATTCGTGTTTTTCCAGAACTGAACCAAACATTGTGAAAACAGTAGTATTTTCTCCAGGTTCAGTCATTAATTCATAAACTTTGATTTTGCTGTCAGTAAAGTTTTTCTCAAGCCAAGTTTCTCCTTCATCAGTTGAATAAAGAATTTGACTTGTCTCCTCTTTTTCCAACTTGTAACATCGAACAGCAATTAGAATACCTCCATGATCACCAATATTGTAATAATGCATTTCTTTTAAGACTTGTCTCCATGTAAGTCCAGCATCTCTACTAACAAAAACCCCAGGTTTGCCTTTTAGTGATTTGCCAACTACTCCAGTAGCCATAATGATTCCTGGGGCAGATTTTGATGATAAAATGAATGTATGTGTTCTAGTGACAGGATATACATGAGCAAACATTTGAGTAAGATGTAAAGAACAGTTATCGGTCTGTAAAAAAAAAAAATTATTCGATAAATAAATCAATAGTTGGTATGTTAAATATAAATAACCTTTTCACAATGAGAAAAAGAACGTGTAACATTTAACAATCTCCAATCTACACCCCAATCAAAGGTAATTAAAGTAATAATATGCTCTGGGCCTATATCTATACTTCCTCCTGACATTGAAGATGAAATCTGTGACACAATATATATTCCTTGAAGGCCTTTAACTTTATGTATATCAGCAAATGTTTCTGTCCATATGTCACTAAAAAATGATAATTTTGATTAAATAAATTCTTTATAAAAAATAATAATTTAACTAGGATTTTATACAAGTACAATTATGTTTTAATACATTAATTTATTAGGTCTTGAACATTTGAATAAAAATATCAATACCTGATTAATGATTCAGTCCATGTAATGTTAGGAAAATAAGCAACCACTCTTTCAAGTGACAAACTAAAGGATATGGAATCTTGATTAGAAGACTGTATTACATCAGATATGTATAAATTCGAAAAAATTGGAGTATGAGCAACAGCAACCATTATTCTATTAGCAGTAATATCAGCGATATAATAATCACGTCTGTCAAGTTCAGTATCAAACCGAGTATGGATAAAATTACCTCCTTTATAGCTAATCAATAGATCTAAATTTTTCTGAACAAAAAATGTAATTAAGTTACAGTATTAAATATATTTACATTTTTAAAATAAATAAAACTAATAACTTATTTTAAAAATACCTTTGATAATTGAGTAGTTATAAACATATAATCATCTTTTACTTTCAAATGTACAACATTAACAGCTAAAGTAGTTAAATTATTTTGGCTAGAATTTATATTTTCGGAAACGGCAATTACAACAGATGTATTTGAAGATTCTTCACGCTGTATTATTAATGAATGACCTCGTTTATATAAATCCCATGTAACTGGAATCCAGAAATATGATTTTACGTGCTCTTCAAGCATAGTCCATGTTTTACCAAAATCATGAGTTATCCACAACTAAAACAAAAAAAAAAAAAAAAAAACAATTTAAGTAAAGGTTAGTCGTTTATTTGTAGAAATTATTTATATGAAATATTTCTACACAAAAATTAATTTTAATAATTTATAGAATACATTAGTAATAAACGGTTATACATTTAATATTTAAATCATAACTTAGTGTATTCAATAATATAAAATTAAATATAAAAATATGTTATAAATATTTTAAATTGTAATATATTATTGTCGGGTAGTTAACTTAAACAATAATATTTATAGAAATATAAAAATTAAGATAAAAATAAATATAAAAAAAACTTTTAAAATTAAAAATTTTTAATTTATTTTTTTACACTCAAAATTGTAATTTTTTTATAATATTCCAACTATAACATACTTGGGTAAATATTGAATACCTTGAACACTAAACAGTGGCGTAATTATGGGGTGGAAATGGGAATATATCCCCCCAAACGCTATTTTTTTACAATAACTATAATTAAATTCCCGTAATCATTAAGCTTTAAATGATTTTAATATAAAAAATAAGAATTCATGGATATTATCATAGTCGAGATTTTTTTTTATTTTACTATTATAAAATTACGATACCTCATCAGGCCCGACTCAAGGGGTAGGGCGACATTTTTCTGTACAATTTTAATATATAAAAAAAATAAATATAAATGAAGTGAGTACCTACAGTGGTTGACATATTATTACTATATATAATAACTATATTATACTATATATATATATATATATATATATATATATATATATAAATATATATTGGGTCTTGTTTTTGACTATTTATAGCATTATTGTAAAACTTGGTTTATTTTCCCAGGAAATTGCTTATCAACGACGTCGATCATTATATAATTCTATTCAGTGGTATAAGATATTAACTATTTTCGAATATTGTATTGCAGTAAACGTTGAGCAACAGTGTAACACCAATGACTTTTATTATTTATATTATAATAAAATGAGTAATAAAATAATATTATTTTTTCTTTAACTATGGATGTGTGTCTATTTTGTGATGGTGTAAATTTAATATATTACTAAATTACATATTAAATTATTAAATTAAAAATGAAAAGTCAGTAGAATGCCTTTATTTTTTTTTTTCAAAAAAAAGTAAAAGAATCTGATCAAGAAAATAGCTTGTCAAAATGTGATTCAGATTAAGACCAACTTAGCAAAGAATTTGTGGTAATAAAGTTGAACTATTTTTTTAAATAATCTAAAAGTTCATACATTTTTATATTTCTTATTTCTATGTAATTATTATGGCATACCCATGTCCATAAATTTAAAAATCATTAACACAAGTATATTTTCTTAGGAAAAACATAAAGAATTAGATCAATCTACTTCAATGATTACTGTGGAACAACCTATAAGTACAAAGTTAGGAAAAGTTAATGATTAAAAATTAACATTTTTACAATCATCATTATACCATTTGCCTCATTTAATTTATAATAATAAATTAATATAACATTGAGATATATGAATTTTAATGGTTATGGGAGGTGTGAGGGGCATAGCCACACTCTAACGATGGTATAAACTAATATCCCAACCCCACCCCAGAACCAATTCCAAATTACGCCACTGACACTAAAACAAAAATCCAATTTAAAAATCTTATATCGTATTAATTGTTTGTATATATTTTTTTAATAAAACCTTAATTATATTATACATTAAAATATTTCAAAATATAAGAAGTTAAAATATTGATTATATAGTTAGATTAAAAAGATATACATTTCAATCATTATAAAATAAGGTGATGGTTTTTGAAGAATTAAATTAAACACCTTATAATGAAAAATATTTAGTAATATATAAAGATATTTGAACATCCTGTTATGTTCTAATAAATTTCCTGCACAATAAATTCAATTTAGAGGACAGGAAATGATAAATATAGATATGAATACCATAGAAACAACCCACATAAAAGCTGACAAACATTATTTAAGATTGTAACAGTTCAAAAAGTTTTAATAAATAATAAATGTATTACCAATAATAAAGTACAATAGTATTGAGCATAATACAATCTTTAAAAAAATAAAATGTGTATAATATTTCAATATAAATTATACATACTTGTTTTGTGGGACTGATTTTGTCATGGACAACAAATACAAATGGTATATCAGGTCTATAAGTTACTACGCTAGGTACAAACGACAATTGAATGGATTTCAGGTGGTTACTATGATCAATTGTTGTGAATATTTTATGGTTTATTATATCTGTGTAAACACACTATGGGGCAAAAAATGCAATTAGTATGACATTACAATTATCAATTATATTAAATACACTGAAATACAAATATTTACATATGATTTAAAAGTAGGATGTATGTAAAACTTGTCGATGGAAGCATATAGATTTTCAACAGCATTAATTTTAAATGCTTCTGTCTTATTAATATAAGTATCTCCATAATCATATGATATGTATACGGCTGAAGAAAAAAATCCTTCACGAACTAAACATATGATAACATTTGAATTATCACCAACCCAATGAACCATCAATTGTTGTCGAGTTTCATTTAAATGGAAAACCTGAAAAATATATAAATTTAAATTAAATTATAATAGTCTCTTTAGTGTTTTTGATATTAAATTGTTCTTAGTCATTATGGAAATGGATTCTAAATTAAATCCTTCATTTTAAAGTATTGTAGTTAAAATGCATCAAGTTATTACATAATATACAAAATGTTTATCTTCTTTTAATTAATTGTATTAAATATAAAGAAATATAATATAAAGTTAAAAAAGTACCAATTCTAAACACTGAACTTATCAGTGACTGTAACCAATCAATGTACTTATTATTTTGTTTTAATTATAAAATTCACATTATTTTATAGTAAAAATAGAAATTATATAGAAAATAGCTACCACCTACAATAATTGTCAAATCATTAAATTAATTATATATTCACAATAAAATTGAATATATTAGGAAAATAACTAACAAATTTATTTGGTTTTTCTTTTTTTTTTTGTTGGCTTATCAAGGTATTAATTTATTATTTATAACTATAGTAAATAATGAAAGCTGTCATAAAATATTAATTTCATTGATTTTTTTTTCTGTATTACTATTTATTACAACATGTATTTAGAATAATTTCCATAAAATAGAATTACCTATCTAATAGCTAAGAAATATTTTATTATTTAATACATAAAAAAAATTATTTTTGATTCACAACTATAATTTATAAAGTTTATTAGTATTTTTTATTATTCATACTTATAGTTTTATTTTATGAAAATACTTAATAATTGATAAGTGATAAATTAATTATGTATTAATTTCACATGATTTTTAACAAAATTAGCTATATTTGAGTTTACATATTTTGTCATAAATACATGTTTTTATATATTTTACAGTTATTAAATATTTTTTTCATTTATAAAAAAATTTTGAAAATGTAAACTAGTGTTACATTTGACAATTTATTTTTAGATAATATTTTATCAGCTGAAATACTAGATATATTATCATAGTATTAACTCGTTTTTCTTACACAACAAACAAGTGGACATTAGGTAAACCAACATGGCTGATTTTTTTATTGATTTATTTTTTTTAATTATTAATTTCTTATAATTTCAATTAAATTTTATCAAGTCAAATGTATGATCGTCTAAAACCGAGAAAGCATTACATATTTCTGAATTTCCAAAGGAACATTTACAAAAGTAAAATATAAAGTAAATACAAAAGTATTTTATACTGTTTTGTTTGTGAACAATTTATAACTATTGATTAATGGTTTCAAGTAATACAACACTTACAAACTAATAAGCATTAAGAGAACAAAAATAGTAAGCCTAAATTAAGTTTTTTCAGTTATTATTTGTCTACCTTTTCTTCGGTATCTAACTGAAGTATCTAACAATATCTAACAGTGATTTACAAGGCCGTAACTGGAAAAAATTTCGAGGGGGGGGGTCTAACATTATTATTTAATACAATTTATGGTTAATAAACTATATTCACCGCTAAAATGTTTCTACTTTTGAAAATTTCGGGGGAGTCCCCCAGCCTTGGTGATTTATGTCAATTTTTTATTAATGCTGAAATTCTACTAACTCAATTTTAAAATATAAAATTTAAAATTTTAAGAATAGTAAATAATTACTACAAAATCGATCTTCAATGAATGCACACTAAGAAAAAAATATATATTCAACCAATTTACAAAGAAATTCTTTGTTTGATATAAACTCAATTGGTGATGGACCTATATAGGTATAAATTAATAAAATAATTGATGTAGACTAAGATGCAATAATTATTATTGATATAATTTCCGAGAAATCAAAAATATGATTGACACATTCATCGAACTATTTCAATATTTAATGAAGAATCCTCGATAAAAGCTGAAATTCTTTTAAAAATCAAAATAAATTACATTTCTGTTACTTACTTTATTTTGACAGATGTAATTACAAAATTAGAAGAATTCGTTATTTCATTTTAGTGGAAAGTGTTTAAGAAGAAATGGTAAAAATTCAAGGAACAATTGGTAAAATTATAAATGCCTATTAAAAATGTACTTCATAAAAATCCCAGTTTAGAATAAATGAAAATTATCAAAAATATTGTCACTGGTCTTTTTTTGAAATTTAATTGGAAAACTTTCTTGTTCAGAAACAGTCAATATGTAATATTATTATCCAATAACAACAGTTAATGTTAAAATATCATTCAGGCGGTATAAAATAGTTTTATGACCGAATCGATGACTTTGTGAATTAAAAATTTAAAATTGCATGTTGTCATAAATTGTAATCAAGATATTTATTAATTTTTTGTATATTTAGTTACTATTTTTTCACTACTTTTTTTTAATATAATTTTTCACTAAGGGTTAATTAAGTATATATAAATAATACTAATATAATGGGTTCATTCAAGTATTATGTTAGCACGTTTTTTACCCTCTCCCTCCATGTAAGCATACGTCAGACAGTGATTACTCCCTACCTCATATCATGTGTCAACATTTTACATAAACCCTATAAATTATTTTATTTTTATTAATTCAATTAATTTTTACAACTATCAAAATAAAAATAATAATAAGTTGTTATGTTTAATATTAATGTTTAATGTTGTCAAATTCATCGACTTTTACTTATTTCCTGTGTTAATTTGTATTTTAATAGTTACTAACATTATATTTAAAATTTAGCTCCTTTCCCCCATGTAAGGTATTGTCAAATTTCTCAAACTCTTCATCCTGATCTGCTTACATAATGCTTGAACGTCCCTAATATATAATTTGTGTTTTTATGTCATATAAATCTAAGTGTTCGTTATAAATTTCAATTATATTAAACTCTAATTTTCTTAAAACCATTAGTTTTGTTATAATTATTATTGTTGTAAATATTATATTATTGGTTGAAAATTAAATAATAAACGAAATTGCTATTAATAAGTATCATATGTACCTAAAAAACATAATTAGATTTAAACTTAGATTTATTTAGATTTTAATGAGGATTTTAAAATATATAGATATCGACGATCTTTAGAAATGATCGCTTTGCTATCTTCTACTCAAGACTTCAAGACCATATTTTCCCTTTCTATCATAAATAAAAAAATGTACTCTTATTCTCTTTGTATACCTAGATTAGTCTACATAGATATCGCCACTTAGGAAAAAATAAAGTTAAAAAATATATATGTAGTACAATTTTGAATTAAACAAATCAATAATTTAATTTCACTCAAATTATTACATTTATAGATATTATTGAAGAACCAATTTAAAATGGTAGGTTCATGTACACCCAATAGATTACAGTCGCTACTTATAATGTTGAAAATACAAATATTAAAGAAAAATTATTCTTAAGCAACTGTAATAATAGTTAAAACAATAACATATAAATAACCTACATATAGGACGTTATCCCAAAAGTATTGTACTCAGAGGCCAACTCACCCGGGCTGTTATGTTTCTATCGGAGACAATAGTTGGTGGTGGTGATAGCGTTGCCTTGATGTCTTCTCTTTTGGTCCTGACAGGGAAGGATTCTAACGAACCAGTGTTATCGGCCAGCCGGGGTAGATCGTCGGTGTACACGGAAAGGGATAAGGCATCCCTGGCGAATAGGGCCGCAAAAAAAAAGTACAAGACGGTTTTCATGGTACAAGCTTGTTCACAGTATCGTCGGTGAGTTGATCAAGACGTAAAAACAGGGCATAATACCGTAGAATACAATAAGGACGGACGGACGGCAGCAGGTTCTGCTATTATTTAGATTCAGATAGCGAAGAGAAGAACGTATTCGGTCTACGGCTCTGAGGTCGGAGAGTTGTGTAGCTCGCGACGAACGTTGCGATGCACAACTACGGTTTCCGGATGTTTCAATACAACTAAGTTTAGAGAAACGATTCGCTGTCACCGAGCCGCAACAATCGGATTTTACGCTCGAACACCATCATAATGTCTCGTATATAGCTGATAACGAACGCAATCACAACGGAAGTCAATATTGTGATGAACGCGAGTCGTGATTGCGACACCACCACCGAGTAACACTATACAAACAGTCGAAGACGGTACGTTTGTAATGCAATAGCGAACGGCGTAACGGTAGCAGCGCAGTTGAATTAATATATTATTATGGTAATAATAATAATAATAATAATAACAATAATAACGATGATGATGATTAATAAAAACGAGTGTAGTGTATCGCGCGAAGAGGGGAGTGACGATCGGGATGAGCACGACTACGCGCACGGAACGGAGCAGATAAGACGCGCGCACTCGCGTACGATTATTGCACGGGCGGCCGATTAGAACGGTGGCGGTGGTGGCGGGGGAAACGATCGGCGATGGAGAGCCGGAAGAGGGATCGCGCGGGCGTTGGTGTGTTTGCGCGTGCGTGCGTGTGCTGGCGCGACCATTTCTCTGCCCGTCCTTTCTGCCGCCCCCGTCCAAGGGTCGTCTGGTCGTTCTTCCGGTCCCGGCGGCGGTCGAGCTTTTGGATGCTTTCGTCATGGAACCAACGCGCGGTGCCGCCTCGGGGATTCGTCCATGAACGTGGGCCGAATGCGTCCCCGTGTCTACCGTAACCCGCGGACTGCCGACGGTTTGACACCTACCTCTATTGCCGCGGTGATTCGAGTAATAATCATTATGAAAAATACCATAAATATGTTCCCGCGGCAATGCGTGATTGTATTATGAACTACTAGTCACTGTATTGTGACTGTATTCTGGCGGCGAACACTCGTGGAGGATCATAAATCAATTAGAAGAAAAAAGTGTCACTATTTTGATAATTGTTGCATGAGGGTTTTAATAAAAGCTTCTCGCGATATTTCAAAATTAGATACCGATATTAAATAAAAAAATAAATAAAAATATGTATGTTAAAAAAAAAAACCGTTCTGAGCTTTACGGTTAAATTTCCACTAAGAACTAATGATTTATGTATGATACATTTTACACTGACGGCATTGACACATTATTTGAATAATAAATTACGGTCGTAAAATTCGTTTTCGAGCCAACAATTTTCATTCGCTTTAGAAATGTCGATGTCTGTGGCTGACAAATACAACTGTGGATATTGTTTATATTTTTATATTTCTGTTGAAATTATTTTGCTGATAATTTTAATAGTACAGTCGAGTCACGATAACTCGCAGTTGAAGGGGGATTAAAATTCACTACCAGATACGTATTATTCGATATACCTAACTCGAATTTATCAAAATTAAATCAAAACTTCGAGTTATGTAATAAAATATAATTTTAAAAATGTACGATGAAAAACTTTGTGATAAGCATATATACATAAATGTTAACACAAAATCTTCTAATTTGCCTATGACTTGAAATATAGAATTATTCACGCCTTCGGTAGATACAACAAATTGCCTAACAGTTTGTAATGATGACATTGCTTGGTTCACCGTCATCATATTTCAAGCTCATCAGGAATCATCAGGCCCGTATTTAGAGGGGGGCACGGGTAAGCACATGCCCAGGGGCGTCAAGTCTCAGGAACGACAAAATATTTTAGCAAAATTAATTTTAAAAATGATGTACCTAATGAAAAAAATAAAAAGAAAAAAAGAATAAAGTATGTTTTATTATGTTATACTTTGTTTAATTTGTTAATTAAAAACGATTTATAAGTTATATTTTAATATTAAAGAATCTCGATTATGGACGAAATAATAAGTGTTAGATTATTATTATTTATTTATTTTTTTTTGGAGGGGGGCATACATTTTATACTCGGGGGCGCCGAATTTTTAAATACGGGCCTGGGAATCATTTGATATATTTATACTAGGGTGACCAGACGTCCCGTTTAAAACGGGATTGTCTCTTTTTTGATCATCACGTCCCGTTGTCCTCACAAACTTCGAATGGGACGCTTATTATCCCGTTATTGTCATATTATTTATTATAAAAAATATTAATGCTTGTAAATAAAATATCTATGTATGAAAATATATAAAACCGTTTTACTCGTATATTTAAAATGTGAAACCAAAGTAAGAAATAACAGATAAAAGTTTTCGTGGAACGAGCGTCAAGTCCCGATACCGACGGACTATAAAATTAATAATAATTAAAAGAAAATATTTTATTACTTAGGTTATTTTATTAAAAAAGAGTAAAGTAAAAAGAAAATAATTGTTCATAATATGACAGAGATTTGGACTTTAACTCACGAGATTTGTGTGCATATGTGAGAATATATATGGATGAGGTTTTTTTTTTATGGTTTTTTTTATGAGGTATTTTTTTTTTGTCAAAATATGACAGAAATTTGGACTTTAACTCACGAGATTTGTGTGCATATGAGAGAATATATATGGATGAGGTGTTTTTTATTTGGAGGGGAAGTAACAGCTGTCCCGATTTTTTATTTTCTTAATATGGTCGCCCTAATTTATACCCATGATTTCATTATCAATAAAAATAACATATATACTATAAATAGTCTACTGACTACAACAATATCAACAATTATAGCATACGATTGAAATGTAGTCGGTTGATCTATATTAAATATATCTGCTACAATTTGCCAATCTTATATATCGTCATTGTTTAATAAAAATATACCATACTGCTCTTCATTAAATAGAATTCAAATTTTTTGAAGCAATTGATAATTGTATTTGACTGTACATGACTTTACATATTAATTTTTATTTTTATTTATACTTACTGTTACTGTAAATGCACCAATAATCAGTTTCTATCTACTCGTTTACTCTTTATTGTACAGTACGGATATAACAGATAAAGTAATATACTTCAACCAAGCTACTTATCACAATTTTATATTCGAGTTAATAAGACTTATAATACATTGAGTCTTATGAGCATTTCTAGGGAAATAAGAAAAAAATTGAATTGTCAAGTTTTTCGAGTTATCAAGGTTCGAGTTATCGCGATTCGACTGTATTTATACAACAAATCTGTTAACCTCGCTCCTATTACACTTAATTCACGAACCACTCATACACATAGTTTTAATTTTCCTTTATAATTTAGTTCTATCTCTTTATCTAACATTTTCGAACCCCCAAACTCACTCAACAATAAACTCTCAGCTGGTCTTGACTTAATTTATATTATATTTCTACAGCGTTGTAAATATATTTTCATTATCCTTTTGCGCTACTTATTTAATTTTTATTTAACTTGTCCCTTTCTTCAGATATTTTCCATTTTTTTTTTTTTTGGAAATCTAGTAGATATCATCCCCCATTCATAAAAATGGTAATTCATCTAATGTAATTAATCATCAACCAATTTTTCTCTTTTCAGTAGTGATGGGTCGAATCCTGATTTTTTAAATCGAACCGAACTTGAACCAAACTTTAAATTAGATTTTTTTGAACTCGAACTGAACCGAACCTATTTTGATTTTAAGTCGAACTCGAATTCGAACTCAATACTTTTTATTATGTACATTGTACCTACCTACAAATTAAATCAACCATAATTATTAATTACCATTGTATTTTAAGTTTTCGTATTACCTAATCTACATTTTAAATTTTAAGTCTAAGTAATTGTAGTATTTATAATACATTTAAATTTTAGATAATTTCTTATTATTATAATTTTTCAAAACCAGTATTGTGCTCTCTCATGTTGTCTTGTAGCTTATAAAATATTCATTGAGTATTGAGTATTGAGTGTAATATGACAATACAATCAGTACATTTTAATAATATATAAAAATATAGTAATAATAACTATAATTCACAAATATAGAATGATTAATAGAATTTATAATGTAAGACGTAAGTTGTAAACATGTTTTTATTAACAGCACAGTCGCGGTATCGGAACATTACCATGGATTTACCCAAAATAGATTTTAACCTCTATAATAAATATGTTAAAAACAAAAATAGCTAATTTATGAATGTAGATACACTGCCTCTTGGTGATTAACAACTTATTAATGTTTTGGTCGGTGGAGGGTGGGTGTGTAACAGGTGACTGGAAAAATAACATTATTATTATAATAATAGCATTATTATTATAAATAATGCATAACATGCCCTTTACAGACTATCACTTTCTATCGCCAGTAGTCTAATTATTTCTAAATAATCATTATCAATTTTTATTTTTCAAAAATAACTTTTGAAGAATTGTACAAAAATTTGGTTTTCGAACTATCGTGGCCAGTAAGTCTGGTTCGACAAATTTTTCAAGTTTGATTTTCGAACAGTAAAAATGCTTGATAATTCATTTTTTCATGCCGAGTTCGAATTTCGAACTGAACCGAACATCAAGGGTTCGGTTCGGTTCGAGATTCGAACAGTTCGACCCATCACTACTTTTCAGTGATTCCTAAACCATTCGAAGACCTAATATCTAAACAAATAATTCCAACTCTTAATTCTTAAATAATTAACAAGCACCACGGTTTTCAAGAATTAAAACCAACAACAACCAATTTACTAGTTTTTACTCAGTTTATAAATGATGCATTTAATACTGGCCATCAGCTTAACGTAATCGTCACTGATTTTTTCCAAAACCTTCGATACAATTAATCACATTATTTAAAAAAATAAATTTCAAGCTTTTGGTATTTGTAACCAATTGCCTTTTGTGGTTCTTTTCGTATTATTATGTTCGTTTCCAAATTTTAAAATATAAATATTATTTTTCTTATTCTTTCCTACAAACTAATGGTATATCTCAAGATTACCATCTAGCTTCTATAATTTTTCTCATATCTACCAACAATATTTTATTTCTTTTTCAAATATGCTATTGTTTGCTGATGATATAATAATTTTTCATATCATAAAATCCTTAGATAACGCTAATCATCTTTAATCTGATCTAAACTCATTCTCTAAATGATGTAATGATATTAATTTTGCATTGAATACAAGTAAATGTAAACTAATGTCTTTCAGTCTCTCCTATTCTAACATAACGTTACCTGTCTAAAATACTGAGTTTCAAAGTTTAAACATCTAGATAATTTTTTTTTTTTTTTTTATATTAAACTTACGTTTGATACTTATGTAAATTATAAAAGAAATAATTCTTTAAAGCAGTTTGGCTTAATAACATTTTCCAGTGGTAAATTTTGAAACTTCAATGCACTAAGTCTAATCTATACTCGTTGCGTTAGATCCTCCCTTGCCTATTATTCTACTGAATCTGATTCTAATGATAGTTCATGTTTGAGAAGATTAGGAGACCAGACAGTAGAATAATAGGCAAGAGAGGATCTAACGTAAG